CACTTAGACCATTGTGTCTATTGGTTAAAAATCATTAAAGCATATTTATATGCTAACCTCGTCATTTTTGTGAGTCACTGTCCTCAGCAGAAACAGAAGGGACTGACCAGAGGTATTGATACCGCTCCCAAGGTGACCTTGCTTCATCCTATAAGTAGGTTGTCCCATTGAACCAGGGTACGAGCCAGGTTGGGTTTTCCTTCATAAGACTTTTTTAGCACAAGGGCTTCAAACACATTCCTGCTACCAACTTCTCATGCAACTTATTTGTTAACCCTTTTGTTAGCGGATCTACCAGATTATCTTTTGACTTCCCATAACCAATTGTGATAATATTTGTTGTGAGTTGTCTAATGGTTTTGTGGCTACGACGAATATCTAGACTTACCATAACATATGTTACTCTTTGCAAGTTCTATTGCCAATTGACAACCACAATAGATGCAAGCTAGTGGGATCGGTTTATCCCATCTTTGAATGTCCTCAAGGAAGTGGCATAGCCCAATAGCTTTTTCACCACATCTAAAGATATAAACTTAGATTCCATAGTGGACCTAGAAATCATCTTTGGCTTCGAGGATTTCTAAGATACTGCTGCACTTTCTAGCGTAAAGCCATATCCACTTATGATTTTCAAGTCTTTACTATCAGATATCCAATTCCAATATGTGTATCCTTATCACTCGGATTGCTGGTGTATTTACTCAGCTTACATATGGCACAGGCTAAGTCCGGTCGAGTGCAGCTCATTAGCTGCATCAAACTTCCAATAATTCTTTTTTAAACATTGATTGAATGTAAAACAATGTTCAATATGTAATATAAAATCTTATTATAAAAAATAAATTATATTTAATAAAATACACTTCAATAAAATTAAACTGAAAACTAAAAACTAGTTTAACTACATAAGATTTTATTAAATTTTGTTGGGAGTACAAAATTTTAGATGGGGTCAAGCCCAATTTAGATGGGAGCATGCAGTCCAAAGTATAATTTTTTTTTCAAAACAAAGAAAAATTGATTTTACACCAAAAGATAGTAGGGGGCATTGGCACCCAATTGCTTCTAAGTAGATCCACCCCTGTCGTTCGTAGAATCGTAGGTGTGAGGTTGATCCGTACAACCACCATTATAGCGGATTTTGGGAGGAAGGTGCTCACGTTTTATTTTATTTTTAGTTTATTCCAAGGCATTCATCATCTCCGTCCGTTGCAATCCGTACGATCACTTTCCAACAAACAAAACCTTAGCTTTTTGGTCTATGTGTATCCAGGATCATTATGTATAGGTATACATTCCGATTCTGGGTAAATGAGATACGAGTACAGTTGTACTTGAATTCATTTTCAACAATAAACAACAATATGTAGCTTGGATTGGGAATGAATAAATAACTGGTGGGGTTTTACTAAAAATCTCCCAAGGTTGATAAAATCGTGGATCATACAGAACTACAAAATATATATTCAATCTAATTAAACGTAACGTACGGCAAACACTTGCCCCAATTGATATATTGCGCTCCGTCAATGTATTACCGAGTATATCTTCTGCCAAAATTCAATGCATTTCGTCGTTCCATGAACCTTTCTACCGGGCATCCCCCAGACTTGGTTAAGCAATTTGTAATATTGGTGAACTAACGTGTATTCACAATGACAAATAAACTTGTCAACGTCCATTAAATAAAATCTGGTTCAATTTAAGTAAATACAATCAAATTTTATTTGTGCAAAATAATTAATGACAAATAAACTTGTCAACATATATAGCACTATACGCATTACGCACAACACTTTCACCCTATGTAGAAAAAGTATTTACGTTGTCATCCCCTCCTACCCTTTTTCCTTTTTGCCCATTTACGGATTTGAAAAGATAAAGGCAAAAAAAAAAATAATGAAATTTAAGCAGACTATTAAGAGCTTATTATCTTCAACTTATCTGATTTGGTTCAATCAAATTTTGATGTGATTTTATCTAAATTTGTTTCTAATCTAATTTAATTTAATGTCAATAGAAATAAGTAATAAGGACTAAGTCATAAAAATATACTCTCTCCGTCCCTGAAAAACATTTCTCCTTTCTTTTTTCATCCGTCTCAAAAAACACTTCTCATTTCTATTAAAAAGTCACGTTTATCTCTTACTTTTTCATACCATACCTATCACATCATACCTTTTTACTAATAATCAATCCATTAAATCATACTTTTACCTATCACATCAAAGGACATTTTTGGAAATTCAATACCAAAATACACTACCCCTAAATTCCTCTTCAAAATCAAAACACTCGTGTTTTTTGGGACGGAGGGAGTATAAAACCTGTTTAAAATTGATGTCTAATCACAAACCAATAATACTCCCCATAAGTATTTCGTTTTACGACATGTCTTGGACTTATTTTAATCGTTTTTTTCGTTTGGAATTTTCATCTCAAAGTATTTGTCCATGACAAAATCTACAGTGGACCTTAAGATTTTCGTGATCGGAGTTCAAATCATTAAAGGACTCGAACTAGTGGATAAACGAACGTCAAAATATACTCTAAAACCGCAGGAGGCTCTTCAAACTCGCGCCTATCTTCTTCCCCGCGCGAACGTACGCGTATGTCTACACGAAGGATCATGTCCCATCATGGATTTTTCGACTCTATAAAATAGAGTCTCGTGGTATGGATTGGGGACAGATTTTCGATTGCTTGTTCTTGATTAACGTCTTATCCGGTTGAAGTATTTCGTATACCCCGAAATAACTTTGATTTGAAAGTGTTTCGTACGCGATTCGTTATTCTATCGAGTTCTTCGTTTAAACACTGCTTCGCAGTGTTCTTCCTCCTAAAAATCCAACAAGAGCTACATATGAGTAAAATAAACATTTTCTTATTACTTAAATAAGCATATATTTTTTATTTAAAAAATAAAAAAATTATGTGAGAAGGTCCATAAAAATGGTATACACTCAAGGTGCACCATATTCTATAACTTAAGAAATCACCCAAAATGAGATTAAAATATAGAAAAAAAATACTAAAATAAGAGTTTCATGTTTTTAATCATTAAATAGAAGTTCAAACTGTAGTAATGTAGCACCGTACATGAACATTTTAATATACTTTTTTGATAATATGTATTGACATGATTGGTAATGTAAAGGTATTTTAACTCTTATTTCAAGAATAAAAACATAGAACTCTGATTTTTTGATATATTTTTAATGTTTTATTCCTATTTTAGTCTTTTTCCCTTCTAACTTGTTGCAGTCAACTGAGATCGACCTTTGACCTATATTTAAATCAAAATTACATGATATATTAATTAGATAAAATAATATTTTAAAAATATATTAATATATAAATGTACTAAAATTATTGTTGTATCAATATCTAATAGAAATTTTATTTAGTTAAGGATCAAAATTTATTAATTTGGACGGTAAAAATTAAAATTAAAACGTACTAAACAAATTCTGTAAGACAAAGGCAGTATTAATTGAAAATCGTAAGAAAATGAAAATCGTAAAAGCATATTTATAAAAAAGATTGTACATTGATTGCGAGCTAGGATCAATTAATTTGTAGTTCCCAAGCATATACTCCTAATTTGTTTAGGATGTAACCATAACGTCCAGCCACTCATTTGTACGGTAAGCCTTCTTTCAGAACATTTTTTTAATGGTGTAGATTAATTCTGAAAATACTAACGCTAAAATCTATCGTGAAATAGTCTTTTCAAAACAGTAACGCTAACTTCTAATCCTAATTCTAAACAGACCGGGCCTATGTCTATAACTAAAAACAAATTTACCTTCATACATACAAAACATATAGAAAGTATCAAAATGCAAGTTCCATATTTTTAAATCCAAAATATGACTATTGTCATTGACACTCTATGTTGGTATTTCATTGCAATATATACGATACAGCCGATTGTATCGTTTTTCTAGTACAAACCGGCAATTAGATTGGAGGAAGGAGAGGTGCGTCGACGAAGGGGAGACCGGCAATTGGATCGAAGGAGATGCCCTGCATTGATCGAAGGGGAGGCCGATGCAGAAACCCTAGGTGCGATGAACTGAATAGAGTAGATCGAAGACGGGTGAAGGTGGTTGCGGCAACCGCAGATGAAACAATGTGTAAAACTTCCACAAAAGATAATTGTCCGCTTTGTAAACTTATTTCGATTTTGCAAATAACACATTACACAACACTTATATTATTAATACATTGTGTATTTCTTAACATTATTTTTTGGAATTGAAAAACCTTACTAACCATTGAGCGATGGATGCTGCTTCCCATATTGGATAAAAGTGCAACCCTATAGCTGCAAAAGTCAAAATAATAGCACCTGAAAGGATGTTATTTTTGTAAAGTAGAGATCCAGAAACAGGTTCACAAATACCATCAATATCTATTGGAGGGGCAACAATGAAAGCATTACATAACACATCCTCTATACTAAATAATTAGTGTTTGTATAAAAATATTTCTATGCTCTGAATTAATTTTTTTTTCTTTCGATTTGCCACAAAATAATGCTACTTCTTTATTTTACTGATATTATAAGTAAAAGTTGCACCAAATAGTACTAAAACATGTTATTTCACAATGTATTACTTGGACTTTTTTATTTTCTAAATAATACTTAAACAATGTCTAATGACACAAATAATGCCCAATGTTGATGGACATTTAGTTTGAATAATGTCCAGTGACGGAGAACATTTACTTGAACAATGTCCAGTGACAGTAAACATTTACTTGAACAATGTTCAGTGACGGTAAACATTTATTTGAATAATGACAAGTAGACAATGAACAACGGTATTACATTGAAAAATAAAAACATACAAATACTATTTAAGTAAATTCTCCATATTATAAAGAGTAAGTGGTCAATAATATCTCGGTGGCCATTTTTTTAATTAAAAATATGATGGCTCTTTTGTGAATTGTGACTGAGATAACATATCTCAAAACAGAAATAAAACATGGGATTATCTTTCAAACTTCTTTAATGCTATTTTCTGATCTTGAGAACCAAGGGAGGCAAAGAACACACCCCAATATTGGTCCCTCTAGAATCTCACTACCTCTAATGACAAAATGAAAAAGTTTGTAATAAAGATTGAAGTATATACAGTAATCATTTTTTATCATTTATATCCTTGTTAATTTAAGCTTAATAGCTAAGTAGTCACAATTATTGGTGTGTGTATGATCCAAATTTGCTTGCTGGAGGCATTGTAACTAATTAAATAGCCGGTTTCAGATCCTTCAGCTCTCATCTTTCTCTAACATTCTTTCTTCTCAAGCTTCTGAGTTTGTTTCTGCATATACCAGTATACCACAGCCTTTTATCTAGTTGAATGAATTTTTTGGTCTGGACAATGCCAATGGCTGCCCATTCATATCATCTCTTCATTTCTACCCTCCTCCTGGTTTTTGTTTTTGTTAATGGGATAACCTTCCCACTTCACAAAACCCTGCACAATCAAAGCTTTTCAAACCTTATAGCACAAGACAAAACAAGACAAAACAGAAGAATGCAACAGGTTTCACCTGGTGCCGGTGTCGCTCAATTCCCGGTTCAAGGAACTTACGACCCCTACGCTGCTGGGTAATATTTCTGGGCATACATACCTCTTCCCAATTAACAAGAGGCACCTTCATATATTTAGCTGCTACTCCCCACAAAAAGTTCCTACATATGTTCTGAACTTTCTTAACTTTTGGATTTTAACTTCCATTCTTCTAAAAGTTATCTGTAAAAATCTTTTATTTTTTGCTTAGGTTTTATTATACACGAGTTCTATTGGGTTCACCACCAGTAGAATTACATGTACTCATCGATACTGGCAGTGAGCTTTCATGGGTCAATTGTGCATCATGCAGTGGTTGTCCCTCATTGTCCGAGCTTCCGGTATAACCTACAATTATTTTTTCCTCTTCTATTCAAAGTTTTGGTTTACACTTACAATATAATAACATGTGCTGCTAACTGACCTTGTTCAATTTTTTTAACAGATCCAGCTTGGACTTTTCAATCCGGCAAGCTCTTCAACCTCTTCAGTGATCCAATGCTCTGATCAACAATGCCCTTCAAATCACACTGCCTGTTCAGCCCAAAACACTACCTGCAATTACAACATCTCGTATGCAGACCGTAGTGGAATATCGGGCTATTATGTAGCTGATATTATCCATTTGGATATTATTAGTGAAAATTCTGCCACTTCTAGCACCGCTTCAGTCGTTTTTGGGTGAGTCTTCTCTAAAAATATAATAAATCTATGTATCTTAATGTTACCGGAGTAGTTTCCAATTCATAGTGTTCTACACTTCTATTTATTGTTTATTTGCTGACATGACAGGTGTTCTACTTATCAGCACGGGTACATAGCTCAAAACGGCCAGGTGCTGGATGGGATTTTGGGATTTAACCAAAAGACCATGTCAATCATCTCACAACTCTCCTCCCAAAATGCTGTGCCAAAAACTTTCTCTCACTGCCTAAGAGGAGGAGGAGGGGGGTTTTTTGTGCTTGGTGAAGTTGTGGAGTTGCCTCTAACTTATACACCACTCCTTCCACCAAAGTATGTCTTCAATTTAGTATATGTTAATATTGCTTTTTTTAGACTCACAATTTATGTCATTTTTTATTATATATCCATCTTTTATCGCAAAATTATAATTAGAATAGTATTTATTAGTGTTTTCCTTAACAGAGTTTTCTTGTTGCATTCACTGGTGAGCATAGTTAGGTTATCAGAAGTGTGCCTTGTATTTGGCTGGTGTAACATATACCTTTTGGTATATCTATTTTTCAGGCAGAACTATCATGTCCATCTGGAAGGCATAAATATCAATGGGCAACTTCTGCAAATTGACCCAGATATCTTTGCCAACCAGCGCACAATACTTGATTCTGGAACCTATTTTGTATACCTAGCAGAGGAGGTTTTTTCTCCATTAGTTCATGTGGTATGTTTTAACAGAGCTAGAACTTGCAAATGACTAAACTGGAAATGACTTGCTAAAATGTGTCGGACCCGACCAAGCATAAAATTGACCTTACGAACTCGCTGAGATTAGATCTTCTTTTCAAAATAGCATACTTTAATATGAAGTATAAAGCCATATAAACCATTTTATCACTTTTTTTACCATATTCCATCGAATAAACTTATCTTTTCTAACCAGTTTTAATGATGTTGCATTGTCATCTTACTTTATATAAAAACTGTATATATTTAAATTTTTATTTTATATTATAATATTTTGGTATATATCTAAATTTATACATCTACACAATATATTTAAACCATGCTATTTACTAGCTCGAGTTTCAGTCTATAGCATGACACTTAAACAATCATAACCATTAATTAGATGTGACATGGAAATTGATATACAAGTCTAGTCTAGATTATGACCAAACACTAAATTGTGCTTTTTTTGTTTACACAGATCTACCAAAGTGCTTCACCACATGCGATCCCTAATCTTAGATCACAAAAACTATGTTATGATGTACAATCAAGGTTCAAGATCATTTTATGTCTCCTGGGCTTAGTAGATTCTATTACCTTTTATTTTGAAGTCCTTTAAATTTGACATTGTTTCTATTTTTGCATCAAGCCCATATGAGGTATTTCCACTTATTACATTGAATTTAAAAGGAGGTGCATCAGTGGTTTTGAGGCCCAGGGACTACCTCACTCGTGATACTACTGTGAGTCACACAAAACATACTTTCTTAAATATATTATAATCATCAGTCTGAAGATGTAATCATAGTTTTCATGCACCTAATGTAGGGGGGAAGCACTGATTGGTGTTTGGGATTCCTCCCATCTCGATACCCAGGACTGCAAATTTTAGGAGGTAAAGTGTTTCTCAAAGTGATAAGTCACGCAACTACCATTTTTGTCTACACCTAGTATATGGTATCAAAAGGCATCATTTCTTTGATAATGTTTGACTTTTTTTCTCTGCAGAACTTGTCATGAGGGACAGGGTCATTACATATGACTTGGAAAACCAAAGAGTTGGATGGACTGAATTTGATTGTAAGATTTTATAGTATTCCATGAAAATAAGAGCAATTTAGAAACAATTTTTAAAACTACTACCTAACCATCACTATTACAGGTTCCACGCCAGTAAATTTTACCTCGGCCCCCATCAGCAACGACTCCCCCCAGTACATCTTGAAGATAAGCTCAAGAGTACTCAAAATATTATTTATAGTTTTTATGTTAACTTTATTTGTGGCGTTACTAATATCATTGTACTTCACTCGGTGAAACCCTGTGAGCTACTTTTCTTATGTACTACACAATTAGATTAGCATGAGTCCCTACATAATATATGTATTGTTCGCTCTTTGTTGAGAGTAGAATTTCTATTTTAACCAAACTACTACATTTTTCCACTTCCAAGAGTCTTATTTGCCTTCTTAAACACATGGATGATCAACAAAGTATCCCAACAGCTGATTCAAATCTTCACAAATTCTTAAAAAGCAATTATAGGAAAATTAACATGCATAGAATGATTTTGGACATCTTGGAAAATACTTCTTGACTCTTCTTTGATGTGTATATAATTATAACTTATAAGAAAGACAATACTATGCCAACCATGAAATTAAACAGAGCATTAAACGGTTATCATAGTTTTGGGAGTGTTTCAACAAGAACAAAGCAATCCACGTATCAGCTCAACAAATAAGTGTTGTATATTGAAAGTTTATATATTCTACCATTATGATAGGATGTCTTATTATATGAGAGGAAATTCAAATTTTAAAATAGAAAAAAAATTATATGTCTAGAGTTATACTTTGTACATCAAAATGTCATTTTTTTAAAATAGTTATAATGCACAAATATTGTATATCTCTGTGTGTGTATTCTACATGTGATACTGAAACTTATTATAAATCCAATATATTTCCACAGCCAAAAATCATATGTATTCTACGTGTGATACTGAAACTTATTATTAGAAATTTACCAATTCTACGAAGTTCCAAACACATACTTGATAATTACCTCTGCCAATAGGTGGCTTCTTTCTCAGCTATCACAGTGAGGCCAGCAAAAGCAGAATGTTGAAGGCTAATCATCCATTGAAAGCTGGTGGCATTTCACCCACTGCCTCACAACAATGTGTGCAAACATACAAAATTAATCTAACATACAATTCTAAAGTGTTGCATTAACATCATTGATTAGCAAATGTCTGAGGTTTTGTATAGTTCATAAAAATGAAATCTGAATGTTCATAAACTTTATTTTTAACCAAAATGCACTTTATTAAACACTCCTGTGGAAAAGCACACCAGGATGTAGATCAAAAGACAAGGGTCTTACAAAAACCACAATCAAACAAGTCTAAAGAGTAAAAAAGAAACTATTCCATATAACAGATGGAAATTTCATTTGGATCTATTATTAATATAGGAACAAAGTTTGAATTTAACATGAGCAAAAGCTTCTTCAACATCGATACCTCTCCTTCAAAATAACAAATTTCTGGCCTTCCAAATATAGTGAGTAGTAACAGCGGCCCAGGCAGCACAGTAGATTCCTCTATAGCTTCTTCCTTGCACCTGCTTTAGCCACAAAAAGATCTTAGAATTAAGGTGATGCATATATTTACATTCCCAGAAAAAAAATGATCGTAGAGTTACAAATATCAAATATGGCACTCGAGAGAAATCTCAATGAATTTGCTAAGATTGTCCTTATATTGAACCCATTCCCTGGTAAGCATCCAAAAGAAGAATTGATGTTTAGGGATAATGAGAGATCTCCAATGAGTTTTAGCCCAGCAAACCTAAGGCCTTTGACCAATCAACCAATTGTAGCCATCACATATTAGCCATACCCGTTCCAGTCTGAATAGGTTTTTTCCCATACCAGCAGCAATCTGGTTTAAGAATGTAGTTCCAAATGTCATTTCGCTTAAGGACCCAGTTAACACATAAGAAGTCTTTCTTATTAGAAATGTCCCATATCAACCTTAGCACAGTAGCTTTACTCCAGTACAGTATATTCCTGACCCCTAACCCCCATTGTTCTTAGGCATACAAACTTCCTCCCAGTTGATAACAGGTCTTTTACAACAGTTGGCACTTGGTAGCCCCACTCCACACAAAAATCCTGAATATGGCTTGGATGGTTTTTAGGGCCATACTTGGTAAGATAATTATCCTACTCCTAAACCAGACTAAAGACATCCTTAAAGTGCTGCAGAGCCTCCATGACACACTGGAACAACAATAATATCATATGCAAATATAAGATTTTTAATGTGCAGTCTATTGCATAAAGAGCAAAAATTCATTACTTTGTATGGTGGGGATATGATCTGATTTAAATAACAAGTTGCCCTTCTCTTGCGATATCATTTGACATTTTCTTGAAGAGAGAAATTGGTAAAAGACATAGGTACACCTAGTTTTTCCTTCCAATCAGAAAGCTCTTTCAGAACACGGTTTCCTTCTTTGACCTCCCCCAAGACATAGGTACACCTAGGTATTTTCCATAGAAGCGCCTGTACTGAATGTCACCTTAGATTTCTCAAAATTAACTCTTTGACCGGATGCCTGCTCATACCTATTGAGGATCTCTACTATTTTGAGGCACTCCGTACTATTATCCCTTGTGAACAGAAGACAGTCATCAGCAAAAAACAAGTGAGAAACCCGCGGACCACCTCTGCTGGCACAGGCCCATGTATGCGTCTCAGACTCGGCCTTTGAGATGAGGCTAACCAAACCCTCTGCAACCAGGATTACTTAATAATACTATGTATTATTTAAGGAAAATGGAAATTTTGATATTTTGAAACCCCTTCGAATAGAATCGAATAGAGTGCTACTTTGCCTTTATGTTCCTCTTGAGATGCAATCACATTGAAATCACCACCTCCCGCCATATCTTGTCATTAGGCACATGGGCCACCATGGCTCTCCAAAGCTGCATTCTGTCTCCATCAGAATGCTTGCTGTAGACAGCGGACATTTGGATCTCTTTGTTAGGTAGGACCGGATGGAAAATTATGCTGCTAATTTGATCATCTAAAAGCTTCTCTTTAAAGGATAGATGAGAGTCATCCCAAAAAATCCAAGCTTTATTCTTCAGCGCCACTGTGTAGCGATTCAAACCTAACTTGGAAGCACATGAGTTCTACCTAACAAAAGGCTCTAAAACTGCAAGGTAGTGAACCCTATGTAACTTAACGAAAGTGAATAGCCTGGGCAGGGCACCACTCACTCCACAACTGTTCCAGAAAAGCAGATTCATTGACCACCCTTTTGTTGGGGATCTAGAGCAGCTTTCATTCCCCTAGTCTGGACTAAAAGCTTAAGTGAGGGAGTTTTAACCTTCCCAGTTCTAGAAAGAATCATGGATGAACTATTGGCTTTGGGAGTCATCACTTCCAAAGGTCCTAGGATTGATGTGTCCATAACTTCTTGACCATCATTCTCGGACTGCATGCATGCTTCTTTCATGGTTTCCAGGTTGGCCTCCCTCAGACAAAACCATTCTTGCACAAACCCTTCAGAGTCTAAATTGTTTAGGTTTAAGCACAAATCATCTTTGCTACCTGTACACACGTTCTTCAGCACACCATCATCATCACCCATCATATATTATGAGGAAGAAGCATTCGCAAACTTGATGCATTCAACTCTGAGTACCATAGAAGGTGAAAGTTTCTCCATGACCCTCTTTGTGTGCGACGGACCTTCGGGGATGTTGTCTTCCATTTGTGGCCCACTGGCTAGATGAATAGGGGAATGTTGATTGACATCTTTGTTCGCACGAAGCCACGAACACCGAGTGAAGAGGCTTGGCTTGTCGCATTGGACGTCGATGGAATATTTGTTGGGTGTCCTCCATGTGCTGTCACGTGGCCCTTGCCCTTATTGAATTGGACCGAGGTAGAGGGCATCTCGAGATGCTTTTNTGAATATAGTTGTAGTTGTTTGACCATCCAACCTCCATTAGCTGTCATTGAACTAGAGCAACCCCTTTTGGGCCCATTCCCACAGCCGGGGATTTTTCCGGTAGCCATAATATTACGATTCCGGCCAGATGAGTTACACTCATGACCAAGCATGCAGCACTTAGTACAGTATGAAGGAACATCATGGAATATGACCGGTATAAATTCCATAGTATCTCCAGATCGGATTTTTATATGTTTGGGTAGATGTTTTGAAACATCCACCTCAAATCCTCAATCATAACCCTTGCAGTATTGAGATACTCTGCGTTCTTCGTTCATCCATCATGACAGGAGTTCCAAGCATGTTAGCATTCGAGAGTAAAGCCCTAAGGTCTTGAAAATAAATAGGGAAATGTTTGAGAGTGACCCATAGGGTAACCAAAGGGCTATCCTCCAAAAGCAAATATTTTGGGGAGCATTTAGAAAGATATACGAGTAAATGTTTTCCATCCACAGACCATGTACTCTGCTCAGGAATCTGTAGAAATCACTTTCATCTTTAAAGTTGATAAGTACCTGGAAGCGAGTTAGGATGCTGACTTGGAACCATCCCAAACCTTGACCTCTTGAGAGTCTGCAATACTGTTGTTGGCAATAAATTTGGCCATTCTTCCAACCACAGCATACTTGTACTATGACGACAGCACCTGGGTTTCCTTGTTGGGGAACGTAAGAACTGCTCCATTGTCACCCTCCATTTTGATTTGCCCATAGACTTTATTGTCTCCCTTCAAAACCTCTGAGAAGAGCCGATTTGTACTACATGTAGGCTGTTCCAGCCACCGGAGGTGGCTACCGGCAGGGGAATGCCCTCTCTCTACTCTTCTCTCTCTAGACTCCATCCACTTTCTCTCTCTAACTAATGTAAAGAGATGGTCGAACATCAGTGCTAAACCTCAATGAGCAAATCTATTGATTGTGATTTACAAAAAAAATTGCAGGTTCCCATGCCAAAGAGAATAGACAACACAGGCAGATTGGGTTAGATGATCACCTACTTCCGTTGTGATGTTGACATGTTTCAAAGAAGAGAAATGTCTTGGTAATAACATCCAATACATACAGAAAGAGCAATGACAAACAAGTGTTGCCTCATATCAACACCAGCCGATTCTGCTCTGCATAAAACTGAAATGAAGCTAATTAGTGCCCACATAGCAAATGGCACAGACAGAGATGGAGAAAAACATGGTAACACTAGATCAATATTTAATTAATGATATATTATAACTTTGTGAAGAAGCATAAAGCTGTCAGAAAAAAATGAGGTGCTAAGAAGAGTACATGAAGTAATGAAGCAGCCCAAAGAAGCAAACGCAATAACTGAGGTGAAGAGGAAATGACTCAAAATAAATTCAATAGATATACATAAGTAGTCTATTCCCAGGGTATGTTTGGGGAGACAGTTGTAATGGGGAAGGGTTATTATTTATTTTAGGAATCAGGTGATTATATATGGTTTATACTAACTTATCATTTTGTATCTTTTACAACAACAACAAACTCAATATACTCCCGACTTCATTGATGTGTGGGGTCAAGATGTACCCAACCTTACCCTTGTAAAAATAGTAAGGCTGTTTCCATCAAATCCCTGATGTATTGATGCATTTATTATCTAAAACTTCATCAAAAGCAAGAAGCTAAGGAAGTTTAATGCGTCATTTGATCAAGTCCACTATTTCTCCAAAGTTAGAACATTGCAAAAAACTTATTCTTTCAGCTCCATTGTCAATGGACCCATCAGTTTGTAAAAGTTATCAAGCTTTTTTTTCTGCCTCCAAGACATACCCTTAGTGATGGATGGATATTTACCTGGAGACTGAGGGCATAGTTGTTTGCCTGAACCCAAAAGGAAACAGTGGATCATAATGCAAGTCACCAACATTATTTGGAAGTTCATCAACAGTCTTAAACCACGTTGTCAAAAGCTGGCCAGTAAAACCAGTCCCCAAAGAGGACATCAGTCACACCTTGACCTTCCGTGCCAGGCAACCAGGCTGCTACAAGTGCATAGATTGATGAAATGTAAGGTTGTTTCACTAGCGGGCATCCAGATATGATGACCACAACACACTTCACTGATCAACAGACATTGATAATGACAGTGGACCCGGGATCTGCTCTTTCAAGAGTTGGATTATCCCCTTTCATCTCAGCATAAGGGTACTCACCAACAACTGCGTAGTTGAAGTTGTTGGATTTAAAGAAACCAGAATCGGGATTCTCCCTGGAAACAACTTCAGTGTTCTTGTCTACTGTGGAGTATATGGCACTAAGGATGTTAGTTCCTGAAAAGGAAATCACAAGATTGCTACTTGGAACATCAAACATCAATCAGACTTTGGAAAAATGACATGTGGTTGCTAATCATACTTTTTTGCACATTGATGAAAGTTTTAAAATTCCCAAGGTCTACAAGGACTGAAAATTTTCAACTTTTAAGCAGCCAAAGGCATGAAAAAACGAAACCTACCTCGTGTACCATTGTTACCACTAAAACTCTGTCATATAATTGTCCATCCCCCACATTGGTGACCCAAGTTATCAGCGTGGCTACCAGAAACCAATATTTTGGGCACTTTCTCGCTACAAGAATTCTGTGAATCTGCGACGGACAAATTCGTCACTGGCTACGGGGTTGCACGTTTGGCCGGCGGATGCTGGTGGAGGAGCGGAGGCGGAGGTTAGGAACTAGGATGGGGATGCGCGTCTGGTCTGCGGAGGTTTGACGCAGGGCGCACAGGGAACAGGGGAAGGGCTTCGAATTCAATTTTTTTGTGGATGTGGATTGAAACACGGAAGATAAGGTTGGGGATTTTAATTTTCAATCCTACATGCGACGGACTCTCTTAGCATGTAGCAGATCTTCAACGGATATTGTATCTTCCTCACAGAGTTTGACACATTTTTTACTTTGTTGTTTCTGTTTTCTTAGCACATTTGCGACGGAATGAAATCTCTTGCAGATTTTGTGCAGGAAGTGGTTCTAGGGACTATTTGGTAATAGCTTTCGAAATTAGCTTTACCGCTATGAAAAGGTTATCTATGAGAAGCGTTTAGTATTAATGTTTTATATCCAAAACGCTAATGTTAATCTCTAACGTTACTCTCAAACAAATCTGTAATGTGTCATCAGCCGTTTTCCCATTTTTTTTGCAATACAAGTGATTTCCTAACTGCTTCTCTTGCTAGATTCTTATGTGCCTGTTTAGACATCATCATACCCTTCATCTACAAAAATTGATGATGGGACAAACACAAATATAGGCACACATGTCTAACAGCCAAAAATCCACACTTCAAGCATGGTAATTCGCCTACCTGGCTAAAAAGTTTATAGTGCAAAGTTTAAACAAAATTCCAGTAACCTACATGGCTCCCAACCTCCTCAACCTGACATAGATCAATATAAGGGTCCTCGAAGAGTCCCACGTTGAATTTCACTAGGAAAATCCTCTCTACCGCATCATCATTACAATCCGATGGAATAATTTTGCTCTTTACAAGGGAAGTGAGATCATCAATGAACTCTGAATAATTGAAAGGCACCATAACCTGCATGAGATCAATTCGACGCTGCCAAAGTTACACACAATCCCACAATTTCATGGAAACTCCCATGAGAAAAAGCCACTGTGAAATGTTTTTGTTTTTAATTTACTTAGCATGCTCAAATGTTTGCTTAGCCACCAACCTACCATATCTATGACAACTAAAATGCTAACCTAAACCGGGGATGTGTAGTTTGAATGAGCTGAAGAAATGATCCTTTCAATACCCTGCATATCTGATATAACAAATCCCTGGTGGTCCATTACTATTCATTGGAAATAATGGTTAGAATAGTAAAAGCACACTAGAACTTAACAGAACCAAATATAAATGATACAACCTAATTGCAAATTCAAGGGTTAAGGGTGCTTATGATAGTTGACTAACTGTAACGATCTTAGATCTTTCATTATCTTGAATTTAAGCGTATCGTTTAGGAACCGAGTAATAAGGTCGCAATTTGAATGCATTTTATTCCATTCTAGCTAGAGTAAAAAACCATGATTGTCGAAACACCTTCAATTATTGAATTAGAATAGGCTGGCATGTGGATGCTAAGGGAGCTGTGTGCGTCTATTGAATTAGATTCCCTAATCGTTACATATGACTTCTTAGTGAGATGTAAAGTGTGTACCGAATATCACACACCAGAATCCAAACAAACAAATTCATGTCTTTCAAATGGGTAGGGTTTCGTTGACACTCGCATCTAGTGCCAACAGATGACATTCGACCATTTGGAGCACCTCTGGTGCCCTGTTTGCAAAATTGATGGTTCCTACCCCTCTCTAAACCCCCCACCATATATGTATGTATTGGACTTAGAGTATCCGTAGTTCTTTGATCCATCTATATGGATTCTTAGACTTGAGCACGTAACGATTATTTGCATTCATGACTGATAAGTTTTTAATTAATTTTGTCAATGACATGCAACATACTTATCGTGCTCCTACTAGTCTTCTATAAGACTTTTATCCTAGACATATAAGTATTATAACTAGTTATAGATAATTCGAAACCCTTCTTTTATCCTTGATAGACTCGTCCAAAACAAGTGTTAAAGTGTCTTTATTCCATATGAGACATGCCTTTATTACTTGTATTTAAGGAAGGAATCATTTTGGAACAGATTACAAGTATCCTTTTCTTTTAGAGTCTATAATAGGTATTTTGGTCTTAAGGTGCAGTAGTATTTTGGCATGGTAACATAATCCTCTTTATTAGACCAACTATTTTAGTCACGCTATCTAGATAATGTTTGAGGGTGTTGGAAAACATTTTCACTTTGACATTTTGCTAATGATAATTTTTGTTTCGGTTTAGGTTTTGATATTGACAAACCGTCAGGAACATGAAACAAAATGAAAAGATTCAAAGAGATAGAAAAAGTTCTTTGAAGAAACAAAAAGCACAAGAAAGGCATTGACGTTGCTAAAGATGGCGACATGTGAAAACCATGTTAAAAACAACAAAAACATGTTAAAAACCATCTTTCGTTTTTGGTCTTTTTGTGAAAACCATGTGAAACGACATAAACTTGGCTAGCCGTGATTTTTACCTTAATGAAGTGGTTTTTAAGGTTTTATACTTGGTTTCTACATTAAATACATTATATAAGAGTTTCCAACACTTGGTTTTCATTTTGGAGAACTTTGGTTTTTGACATCGGTTTTCGGCGTTGGCTGCCAAACCATGGTTCTGGCAAACCATCCCGACATGCATGTCGGAAATCCCAACAATGATGTCGGCCTTCAGAAGCCCTGGCCAGTAAGTTTTTGAACAGCGATGTTCATGGTTGAACAGCGATGTTCTCAAATGACCGTTGAGCTATTTAAGACAAAATCTTTCCATTTTTGAAAGTCAATCACCCCAACATTGATGTAGACTTTTAGACATCGATGTTTTGATGACCGTTAGCCATTTTTAAAGGAAAGTGAAAGCCAAAACATCGATGTTCACTATATGAACATCGATGTTGGGCCAGATTTCAGTAGATCCACTTTTATTTGATTTCCACAAATCATGCCATTAAACCCCAATCAACTCCCATTCGTTATATAACATTTTTGGGTATATATAGCGGTCTTTTGGGTCTACTTTTCACAACCATTCATCACACATTTCATAGCTTTACATTGCATCATTCCATAAACTTTTTACATAGCTTTTTAGAGCCATTTCATGAGGAATTGAGTGTGTTCTTGATCTAAATTAGTTTACTCATATTCTACTCTTTAAGAGAGTTTTTGTTCTTGAGTGGTTAAGTGTTGTGAACACTTTAAGGGAGGTTTGTTCCCTTGGTTGTACGAAGGAAGGGCATATTCCTTCGGGTTGAAGTCTTGGAGTGCGGTATCTCCAAGCGAGTGTTGTTGAGGCTCGTGGGACTCGAGTTCTCAGGTTGTAACGGTTTGGTAAGCACCCGTAAGCTTAACGGAAGTAGTGTAGCTCGAGAGAGTCTCTCGGGAGGCTGGACTAGCCACACGTTGTGGTGAACGAGGGTAAAATCGGTGTGTTCTTTCCTTACGCTTTTTTATTCCTCTCTTTACTTTATCCCTACGATTTTTATTCCACGAAAATTTTTAAACATTCTTGTGCCTCACTATTCACCCCCCCCCCCTCTAGTGAAGGGCACTTATTCTAACAGAGGGAACGTGAATTTTGTGATCATATCACCTTTTGCTTTCCTAATTTTGGCATTAATATTACTTGATCTTTATCAAGTGTGCTTATTAATGTTAATTTTAACGCCGTTAAGTTGCAACCCTTGCATCTTCAAGATCAACACTCCGACTTCTTCTCTTCATTTCCCGCAACGATTTGCAATATTATAAGTATCAAATACTTTTGAAGAGATTGTAGATTTGATTAAGTCTTTACAACAATTGTACATGAACCAAAAGCTTCACCCTTTTTCTTGGTTGCCAAATACTGCTTGCAATTCCTCTTTCATGGCCAACTTCACCACAGTGATGACAAATGGAATCTTTGGACACTCCCCCTTTAGGCTTTAGCTTAGAAGAATTGGACTTTGGCTCGGTGTTACTCTTGCCTTTAGGTCCATTCTTCTTTTCCTTCTTGAACTTTCTCTTCCCTTTTCCTCCTTGAACTAAAAGGATATAATTTCTTTTTCTTTTCGTCAAGCTCTCTTTAGTCGTTTGCAGCATCTTCAAAAGTTCTAGTAGTGGTTTATCGAGTTCATGCATCTCGCAATTAACCACAAACTGCTTGGACAACTCCGACAACGATTGCAGAATAAATCAGTTGCAAGTTCTATCAATGATCCGATTAATACCCGAAATGATCCGAATCGAACCGAAACCGAACTGAATAATTCATATCCGATTTAAATCTGAAACCGATTAGATCCGAACCCGATTAGAACTAAAATCGATAAATTCAGAACTATGTTTGCCTTTCAATAAGCATATTATATTTTTAAATTTTTACTTTTATTTTATCATTTGAACTAATTACATTACTTGCTCATTCCCTCATAAAATGGATTATCTTCTTGAAAAAAGTATAAAATTTTATGCCTTAAATTCATTATATGTAAAAATTAAAGATAAGTTATACATATAAATGATAACGCACAAACAAATAAAATTTCTGTAATTTTTAAATAGTGAAGTGTGATATTCTTTTTGGGATGGAAGGAATATATGATGAATTGTATGGAATAACTAGATTTTATCCTAATTTCATCTCATTACAATAAATTTTATTGATTTGAAAGTTAATTTGATTAGTTTCAAACCAATTCACTAAATATTACTCCCTCCGTTCCACAAAACTCTTCCCCTTTCGTTTTTTTTGAATTCCCTAAAACACTTCCACTTTCTATTAAAAAACCACTTTTACCCTTACTTTTTCATACTCTACCTATCACATCAAACTTTTTTCCTAATAACCAAACTATCACATCTTACTTTTATCCATCACATCAAGGGCAAAATTGGAAAAGTCAACCAAAATTACACTTTCCTTATTTTTGCCAAAAGTCAAAAGTGGAAGGGTTTAAAGGAACAGAGGAAGTAGTCAATAAAATTAGATGCTAGTGTTAGCATTTTGAGAAGACTCTCTAGCGGCAGCCTTTACTGTTATCATTTTCAAATTTGATTTACACCATTACATTTAGATGTAAAATTAATTATATTTAACTCTATTAAATTTAATTTTCTCTATTTTCAACCAAATATACTCAATAATTTACAAATTTTGCACTCAATTGAATAAATTTCACTTAATTTCAGTCAATTTTACTCAATTTTTACCAAATTGTATTCAAATGGAACATAAGACTATTTGAATTTATCTTTTATCCTTTCATTTATATACATAAGTACATTAGTAGATGTGAGAAAAATTTGATATTTCAAAACTAAATTTTAAAATCAATTTAATTATATTAAACTTATTGTTGGAAAACATTTTCACTTTGACATTTTGCTAATGACAATGTTTGTTTCCGTTTAGGTTTTGATATTGACAAACCGTCGGGAACATGGAACAAAATGAAAAGATAGAAAAAGTTCTTTGAAGAAACAAAAAGCACAAGAACGGCATTGACGTTGCTAAAGATGGCGACATTGGCGCTTTGAAGACGTATTCTAAAGACTTAGGTTTTATTGTAACAAGCTCATTCAATTTCTCAACGTCATGGCTCAAAACAAAATATGTTTTTCATTCATCAAATGAGTGTTTTCATAAATTGTTTTTAAGTTTCTAATACCTATGGTTCTTGCTTAACAAAAACCATAACCATCCGTTATTGGCGTTCGGCTATGGCGTTCGGTTTTCGGCATTGGTTATTGGCATTGATTTTAACCAAATGGTTTTTGGGTTTTTATCCTTGGTTTAAGCTTCTGGACACATTAAAAGGTTTTCCAAATAATTAGTTTTCAAAAACCATAACCTTTGTTTTTTCGGCGTTGGTTATCGGCATTCGGCGCTGGTTATCGGCGTTGGTTTTTGGTGTCCAAACCAACCAAGTGGTTATAAATATTTTATGATTGGTTTTTACTTCTGGACACATCCAAATGGTTCTCCAACAAAAAAATGTTAAAAACCACCTTTCGTTTTTGGTCTTTTGGTGAAAACCATGTAGAACGGCATAAACTTGGCTAGCCGTGGTTTTTACCTTAATGAAGTGGTTTTTAAGTATTTATACTTGGTTTCTACCTAAAATACATTATATAAGAGTTTCCAACACTTGGTTTTCATTTTGGAGAACTTTGGTTTTTGACATCGGTTTTCGGCGTTGGCTGCCAAACCATGGTTCTGGCAAACCATCCCGACATGCATGTCAGAAATCCCAACAGCGATGTCGGCCTTCAGAAGCCCTGGGCAGTAAGTTTTTGAACAGAGATGTTCATGGTTGAACAGCGATGTTCTCAAATGACCGTTGGGCTATTTAAGACAAAATCTTTCCATTTTTGAAAGTCAAACACCCCAACAGCGATGTAGACTTCTAGACATCGATGTTTTGGTGACCGTTAGCCATTTTTAAAGGAAAGTCAAAGCCAGAACAGCGATGTTCTAGTGAACATCGCTGTCGGGCTAGATTTCAGCAGATCCACTTTTATTTGATTTCCACAAATCAAGCTAATCAACCCCAATCTTTTCCCAATCGTTGCACCTTGTTTTTGGGTATAAAAAGGGGTCTCTTGGGTCTACTTTTCATATCCATTCCTCACACATTTCATAGCTTTACATTGCATCATTCCATAAACTTTTTACATAGCTTTTTAGAGCCATTTCTTGAGGAATTGAGTGTGTTCTTGATCTAAATTAGTTTACTCATATTCTACTCTTTAAGAGAGTTTTTGTTCTTGAGTGGTTAAGTGTTGTGAACACTTTAAGGGAGGTTTGTTCCCTTGGTTGTACGAAGGAAGGGCATATTCCTTCGAGTTGAAGTCTTGGAGTGCGGTATCTCCGAGCAAGTGTATTGAGGCTCGTGGGACTCGAGTTCTTAGGTTGTAACGGTTTGTTAAGCACCCGTAAGCTTAACGGAAGTAGTGTAGCTCGAGAGAGTCTCTCGGGAGACTGGACTAGCCACACGTTGTGGTGAACCAGTATAAATCTTGGTGTGCTCTCTTTACGCTTTTTTTCGCTCTTTACTTTTTACGTTCTTTACTTTATCCCTGTGATTTTTATTCCGCGAAAATTTATAAATATTCTCGTGCCTCACTATTCACCCCCCCTCTAGTGAAGGGCACCTATTCTAACACTTATATCAAAATTAAATATATATGTTTTCATAATTTGTAGTCCATATTTGTAAAATATGACTAAAAAGTCAAAAAGGGAAAATTATTTAGGGTAGAGATAATATAACTAGAAAAAAATATAAAATAATATGAGGTATTGAATTGATGATAGATTGATAAATGTGATAAAACATAAAAAGAAACACGGATAGTTAAATTTTAATTAGAAAATAATATATATCCAAAATATATTTGATCCGAAACCAAAATATATCCGAACCGAATTAGACCCGAAACCGAAATATATCCATATCAAATTGTATCCGAATCGGAATTTATCCGAACCGATTTACAACCGAACCGTATTTGAACCGACTTGAAACCGAACCGAACCAAAAAATGTATAGAACCGAAATCAAATCCGAACCGAACCGAACCGATTATAACATATAACCGAAAGATATCCGAACCGAAAAAATTCAACCCGAAACCGATCCGGTTGATCCGATTGCCACCTCTAGTCTATAGTGTGGTAATTATAATAGAGTATCTTAAAAAATTTTAATATGTTGAATTATATGTTAAAAAAATACACAAATGTATTTTAATTTACAAAATGGTTCTTTTGACCTTGGAACGACAAATCATATTATGACTGGGGGCATTTACGGTGCTCCGTTCGTAAAATTTATGGTTCCTACCTACCCACAATCGGCAAAATGGAGGGAGGGGGAGGTAGGAATGGTGATGTGGTGGGGTGAGTAGGTAGGGGGCAGGGGTAGGGTTTAGGGAGGTTGGGAGTAGGAACCATCAATTTTACAAACAGAGTACTTTAGGTGTCTCGGGTCATAATATGAATAGAAGTTCCAAGTAAAAAAGATCCATGCCCTCTAATTTAATGATTTTGAATAGTTGGATATACCTTATGAAAAATGAATACTAATAAAAGGAAACGGTACCGGTAACGAAATTTGGGCACCGGAATCGACACAGAATGGGCCGGTACGAGTACCGGTTCCTGGAACCGGTGGTCCGTCCCAGTCGGCGGAGACGGTGCTCGGTACTGGCGGTACCGTTGTCGGTCACGATACCGTACCAGTACCGTGTCCACCCTTAACTGTAGTCTTTTTCTTTCTACTCCTCAAAACAATTATGGAGTCCTTTTTTCTCCCCTCGGCATACTTCCTTTTTTTTGTATGCTACTTGAAACCGTAGCCCAAGAGTAGATCATGTAGGATTAAAATTATTTTTTCAAGCTCTCTTTTTTTCTACTTCTATATATACTTGGACTCTACTTTTAAATAACAGCTACAAATAATTCTAAATAAAACTATTTGTTTTTCAAAAATAATGCCAACAAAATATGGAACTAACAACCTTTTCAAAAATAATTTTGAAAAAAATCAATACAAATTCTGTGCTTAAAAATGAAAACAAATTTTTATACTCGATTAAAAAAATATGTAATCACAATTAAAATAAATGTTGGTGCTAATCCTTTAATATAATATTTGAGACTCCATTTGCTAGAAAATCATCAAGTGTGAAGCTTATGTGGGCTATATTAAGGTGATGTGGCAAGCCTTTATTGGTTGCTTATGTGACAAATTTTATTAATGATGAATTGACCTTTCTTTTTATTTTAAAATAGAAATATAATAATAAATCAAATTTTGGAAAAAATTTACGTAAAAAGATCTAGGACAAATAAATAATTCATTACTTCGTGACATTAGTTGTGTATTTATATTTTTTATTTTTAAAATGCAATTCACATATTTATTTTTTATGCTATGATAAAATTAATTATGTTATAAAATCAAATTTATGAAAGATAAACATAGTATTGTCCGAAATAAAATTATTAAAGAAAAACAATTCTATGAATTATAATTTTATGATAAAACGTATTATGATGTAGCAAAAAATTAGTGAAAATATAAAATTGGTATTATCACAGACCATTTCTAGACTACCATTTTTTGTAAATCAAATTTTTAACTAAGTGAATACACAAAACACAAAATGTTGATAATGATATATTTTCGTTTAAAAATATTTTTATTGGAAAGGATCAAATATGTTTATAATTGATCCTTTATTTATAAAATTGATATTTTAATCTCTAAAAGCTAAGATGTGATGTTGTTTACGAGACATTTCTAACACGTAAAAGATATTATAGAAAGTAAGAAGTTAATACTATGGTATGAAGTCATTCGGTACAATTAATTATGGAAGACAATAGAGATATTCGTTTTTATAATAAATTATTTCCTAATTATGCATATTTTTCTATTCAATTATTACAAAACTTCTAACGGTGTGTTTGGTGAGCAAAAAAGTATGAGTTTTGATATGTCTAGATATCCTAATCCTTTTCTGGTGTTTGGTGAAGCCAAAAAAGTTATCATATTTAGTATCTCCAGATATCTTAAATCTTTAAAATGAATGGTCTCATTATTTTCGAAATTTGGGATATATCAATGTGGAGGTTTGATATCTCTCTCAACTGTTGATCATTTTTCGCCACTCACTACCATTGTCACTACTTACCACTCCCGTTGCCAGCAGCCCTTACTTATCACTGATTAAATCTTGAATTTAAATCTCTCTAAATAAAATCATTTCAGATTAAAAAATCCATATCATTTCTCAAAATTTTCATAACCCGCATCTTAAAATATCTCCAAAATTCACCAAATTGGCCCTAAGTAATTAATAAGATATTTCTTCACTTATAAATAAGTTTCATATTTTTTATGATATATTTAAATCGAAGTAGTCAGTTTGATTATATTTATTTAATTATTCATGTAAGTTAATAAACAAAAAACTTATTTTAGAACTACAATGAAACCTTATAAAACATGAGAAGATTAGACAAATTGTTAAAGCAAGTAAAATATTTCTAGGAAAATCATTGTCTGCTTCTTTGAGGTCACATGGTAAGGTTGTCTTCAATGACGATCTAGTGGCATTGCAACATTGCTTTTGCCTGGGGGAGGACAACACACTCGAGATTCTCAATCCTTCTAGCACTAACCAAGTGCTCCACGTGTTCCATCAAACAAAGGAGTCTGAAAGCAGAGCTAATCCAACAAACAAGTCTAATCATATGGGATGAAGTATATATATAACAAATATATTTGCTTTTGAGACATTAGATCACACAATGAGAGATGTAATGAGTTTCTCAAATAAAAATTCGAGAAATGAACCATTTGGAGGGAAAAGAGTTGTATAGGGAGGTGATATTTGGAAAATTCTTCCTGTTTTACCCAGAGTTTCAAGAGAGGAAATTGTAGATACTACCATCAATTCTTCAAAAATATTGTCATACTATAAACTTTATATGTTGAAAAAGAATATGAGATTGTATTCACCGACGTCCTCTTGCGCAGATAGGGACACACAAGCTTTTTCTAATTGGATAATCAAAGTTGGAGATAAAAAGCTTGGACACGTGGGTGGACTGAAGGGTGTGCAAAGTGGCCAACCGCACAAGACCTCTAAAATTTTAGGGCCTCATATATTTAAATTCATCATTATTTTGAAACCATAAGTATTCTAAAATGGCAAAATATGGACAAAAATATAAATTTTGGACCGGATCAATTTCATTTTTTTCATTTTTCGAGGCTAGTCCTAGGTTGGACATGACAAGTGATTGATGAAAAGTTATTTTTTTGAGGATGGAGCACTACTGGCATCCATGCTTGAGGTTATAGAAATGGTAAATGAATGCCATATCCCTCATTCCCAAAGATGCAATGGTGTGTCCGAGTTCTGATTCTTCATGTCAGGCACGTTCAGATCTAGGTGTTGAAGACGATTAGATAACAGTTGGGTTTTTGAATAATTCAAATGTTCAAAGATCCCAAACCACAAAAATAATTTTTAAAAAGGGGGTACCAATTATATTATTGGGGAACATTGACCAAACATCTAGATTATGTAATGTTACAAGATTAATCATTAAAGAGCTGCGAAAGAGCGTTATCAATGCTTTTATGGTTTTGGGAAATTCAGTCGGAGAAAAAGTTTACATTTCGTAGATGAATTTGGTACCATCCGATCTAATTACTCCTGAAGTTCTAGAGAAGATAATTCCCAATAGTCTTATCTTTGCAATGACTATCAGCAAAAGTCAATGTCAAACACTGTCATTTGTTGGATTATTTTTAACCAATTCGTTCTTCATTGATGGTTAGCTCTATTTTGCTTTTTTTAAGAGCCATGACAATGACAGAATTAAAAATATTGGTTCCAAATGACAAATGAAACCATTGCAACCATACCAAAATTGTTATATACCCTAAAATTTATCAAAAAAATTAGTATTAAAAAAGATTTGTTAGTACACACTCAATTCTCAAATATTATTTATTCTACTTTGGCATTTTTGTCTATAGTATTAAAAATCATGTCAGAATTATATAAGTTTTTTGAAAAAAATATTGCATTTAAAAGGTTTCAGAATCGACAAAAATTTAGTCTGACCCCATGCGTCCCACGTGTTAGAATACTAGTTTGATTTATTCAAGGTGCATAATCCTTGATTTATGTCTTTAAATCATTTATTCAAACCGAATTAATGTAAAAATAATGTGAAAATAATATTGACCTACAATAATACGGAGTAATGTTTTTCTCT